GCACGGTTTGCAACAGCATGCAGCAGAATGCTACAGACGGTGCGGCAAAAAATGGTGCAGAGTCGGTGCCGACTACACCCGCACGAATGAGGGGATCACAAGCAACGCCCAGTTCTGAAGAAAACAAAAACATGCCGAGCCTGTGGTCGGTCATAGCGGCATTTGGGATCGTTCGGAGCCTGTCGCCATGGGCACCAAAACGCAAGCGCACACGGCGACAGGAGAAGTGCGCTGTGACATCCTCTTCACCATATAAAACGGTCGCCGCAGGAAGAAAACCCAGGACAAAAAGCCAAGGAAAAGGAGAGAGGTGAAAGTGGTGCAGGAAAGCGCAACACGGTGAAATGGTGACGTAAAGGTGACATAGAAGCGAGGCGACCTAGACACTGGGTGCCTTGACTGTGGTGTACTGTACCGCCTGTTTTGCAAATCCTGGATTCAGTGCATGAAGTGCTCAAAATGGGCGGGCGCCAACCAAGGACGAATGCCGTATGTGTGTGACCTCTGCCGGGAGTAGAGAGAAGGCTGAAGACCTCCCCGTGAGCGCTGTTGTGCCAGAGTTTCAGTTTTTGTCTTGCTATGGAGCGTCACTTTTGGTGCCCTGTGGCCAGTGACGACTTGAGTAACGTTTGAACCTTGTTGAAAATTGTGACTTTATCCACGTCGCAAACTTTATGCTCCTTAGATGACCATCCGAAACGCTGCAAAACAAATCACGTGAGCAAAACGATGCATTTCAGACCTTTACGGCGTGTAAGACGAAGGCATTAAGCACCTGATTTGTGAAATGAAAACGCCTTATTTGACGCCCTTAATTAACGTGAATTTTGTCAGGAAAACTCCACGGATGTGACTTGCACGCTTTTTCATGTAATGGAGGAGAGACAGAAAGCACACACGAACATTTTAAAGAGCTTTAATATTTCACATCTTATAGGAATGTTTCACAATGTACGATATTGAAGCAAGTACCAGATATGATGAAGCAAGCTCACTTATAACTATTGGTATGCTTTTAAGTGGAGAACACTACTTTAGACAGTACAACTCTCTGTTGAGTAAATATGCTCCTCAGTGCGTCACGGTTTGCTTATCACAATATCCTATCTTGCACAATATTGATTGGGAGCCAACTGATGGTCGTTATATCTGGAAATCGCACCAACGAACGTCAGATATGAACGCCAAAGCGCCTCGACAGTTACATCTTTTGCTGGCCTTGATACATAGTTTATGGAATGGCAGGATTTGAAAGACGTTGTTATGACGTCGTGAATGCCAAGGTATTTTTGAAACGCTCTCCCCGACATCAGGCTGATGCCTTGCGCGATACGCGTTGAAATGAACGTTATGACAAGTGCCGAAGTTAAACTTTCACAGCGGAGGAGCGTTTTGCCCCGGTGCAAGCGGGCGGTTTGCCCGACCTGGGGCGAGGGCCCCTTTCTTATGTTCTTGCATATTTTGAGAAGTTTTGAACCAAAAACACCATCAATATATTTTTCTATGTCATCATTCAATGCAAGAAAATACATTGGGCTTCCTATTGATACTTAAGTGGGTCCGCTTACGCGCCTCGGTCCAAAGATATGATGTTTTTAATACGAGTGGATATGAGATATGAGTATACATATATATATATATATATATATATATATATATATATATATATATATATATATATATACATATATATATATATATAAAGATAACGCATACAAAATACATGAGCACCACATGCCATCACTTTTAGTTGTTGGCATACTTTTGGGCGGAAAAGGCTGCTCTAAACAACACAACTCTATTTAGCAATTATGCTTCTCAATGCGTCATTGATTGCGTTAGGAAGCGTTTGTATACCAGCACTCACTTGTAGTTCATCAATCACCCGAGGATTGGTGCGTGGCTGTGCGGGATGTGTGCTGAACCAAATATGGTCAGGAGCTCAAAAAAATGTGGTAAAAACTTAATTGGTGTTAGAATCTTGGACAACTTGCGCAATATTGGTTGAAAACCATATTATGGTCGCCATACCTGGAAATAGTGTTTATGCACGCTAGATATAAAGGACTCGACAATTATATCTTTCTTGACCTTGAACGTCACATGGTTTTTGAAAATGCCGGATTTCAGTGACGTTCTTATGGCGTCACGGATGCTCGGGTAACACCGAAATAGTCTGCACGAAAAAGTCTGCACATCTCCGCGGGCGATGCCTCAGAGACTAGAGGGTTTTAGTCATAATGGGAGCATCCCACTTTGTACTTTCACTTTTTGTTAGATCAGACGAGTACGATTTGACCGGTAATACCAGCCTTTTCAACAATCCTGCTGAATAGTTCAGGATTTTAATCTGAAACATTTATATTTTTTCTCGCGGGAGAAATCCCAATGGACTCCCTGCTTACCACTATAAAAATAATATATTCATTTGCCTTGCCTTTTCCAATGTGTGTGTTCTGTGATGTATGCAACACACGTATTTGCTACAAATAAAAGAAGATACGCGAACATGAAGTTTTTATCCTGCGAACTCAACGAACCGTTAAACTATGGTTTTGATTTTGCCCCTATGGCGTTTACCACAGTGGCTTTTTCCGAGGCGCACCTTGGCTTTGGGAATGGGAGTATCACATGGTCCATAGCGCCGCGCTGGTTTAAACTTAAAGCAATGCGCTTCTGGTAGTAGGCCACTGCTGCCCACTGAGCCAATCACAAACGTTTTCTTATTCGCACCAGGAGAAGTGCCAAGGCGGTTATCCTGACGGCGGCGGCAGCAACTGTAGGGAAGAAGCGTAGTGCTGTAAAAAAGCGTTGACAGCGTCATTTGGACCCGAAAATGGTTTAAATCGATATATTGCATGCGTCTTGACGTCACTGCAGTGGCACTAACCAATGCTATTATTAGATGTAACTGGTCCAGACAATAGGGCTGTGAACTGCACCGAATGGTCTTCAAGATGGTTCTTTTAAATTGAAACTTACATAGCTTGCTAAACATCGATAGACGATTGACGTCCGCCATTTGTAGAAATCGTGCTTACGGACGTCAGATCTGAACGGTTCGGCGGAAATGTTGTTACTGGCCTCGGACACAGCATGACCACTGGAGTCAGGTCAGTCAGTCAGTCAGGAGTCAGGTCAGAGTCAATCAACCATTCAGATCGGATGTCTGAATGATGCTGCTATGGCGTCATGCACGCCAAAATGGTCATGAAGTAGTCGGCACGAAATAGTCGGCACATCTTCGCGGGCGTGTAGCTCAGAATTACGAGATTGTCATAGGCGTAGGAACGGCTCAAAAGGCGGGGAGCGGGCAGACTTAGGGCATACTTCATAATTTATTTCTGGGAAGCAAGCCCGGTAACCGAAGGTGAGGGGACTGGAAATGGAGGTTATTGTTTGCTCTTGATGCACATGACAGATTTTGGGAACAACACAATGCCATGGTTGCTATGCTACGTATAAACGCACAGCTGTTTCTCACTGGTGCACAATCTTTCCTATTCGTCTCATCTATGCCATTCGGCAAATAAGGCCATCCAGCTTCTCAAGATTATCCGTCCATGTCAAGATAGTTTCCCTGGGGAGGCGAAATTCCACGAGCAAGTAGGGATTTTGGGCCATTCAGGAGGCATCTGCTTCCACAGGGTAGATGCCAAATTAAGACTTGGACATGGGCCGGTCAGAATGTTGAATGCGAGTCGATGACCCACAGTGCGCCACAGTTTTCATAGCGCCTAGGCTTCGACGGTTGCTTTTCAGGAGATATAATTTGCCGCCGCATTTTGAGCGAAAAAAAATTCGGAAGCTTCGAACACTAACTGCCAAAAACAAGGTGACAAAACCATAAACTAGGGATTCTCATGTAAAAAACCATGTCACAGAATGAAGGCTCTTCTGTCATATATTCCTTATCTGAGCCCTGCTCCCGCCCGCCGTCGGCTGCCACTGCCCTGGTCCGGCTGTTCCCCGCATGACTGATTGCAAACTGATCGTATGACTGCTTTGCTGCATATTCAAGGATCAGCATTGTCATCCTAATTATCTTCCCTTACGCCACACCACCACGGAAAAGTGATTTTGGGGGTGGCTGCCTGCCTTAGGCACAAATCGGTTCAACGGACATTCAGCTGCCCCTCATTTAACCTAGCCGACTTGATCTGTTCTTGTATGTAGCAGCCGCTTTGGCAGAGCCTTGCCAGGTTGACAAAAGTTCTCCCCCCCCCCCTGATGGTGACCCCCGCACAAAACTCACCGCATATAGCTTACTTGTTAACAAAGCACATGGTTGTTTTTGTTTTTTTTGTTGTTATTTTTCATTAAACCCAGAACAGAAACAGAAGCCAGAAGCTGCCGCGATATAAATTCTGTCTGTATTTTGGAGCTAACAAACTGCAAAAGTCAGGCCTGAACGACTGCATGGAATAAATCACCAGCGCTGTTGATTTACAATGGTTCAATGGATTCTTTCTGAACCGATAGAATTAAGAACCTCTGTCAGGATTTTTCATTTGGGTTCTACAGACACATTAAGGACGCCACGAAGGTAGATTGTAGATCGAAACTGGTCAACAATATGTATTACTATGGTCAAGCCATGTTTTTTTCTGGAAGTGTCCAACAATCAGTCAGAATAGACAAGCGATACAAGCTACGCTACGTAGTTTTGAACATGCGCGCTCGCAAATCTTAGTAACAAAAACCTCGACGCCAGGCGTTGCGGTCTCCACAGGTCGCGCAGCGTTGGCACAGCGACTAACACCCAGTTGTGGCTAGCGGGTAGACAAAATGATAAGATTCTGAATGGCGTATCTTTGAAAGCTTTAGGATATTCAATCTCACGCAAAGAAAGCAGTCTGGGCGCACATTTCACCCATGCGATTTTTACCTCGACAATGAGAACAGATTGGCCCTTACACCACCATTCTGTGGTGCTCGAATCTGGTGGTGGAACCGGAAGAGTAAGGCCAGAATCCCTGTTTTTCGTGCTGCTGTAGCCGCTAAGCTGCCAAGAGGCCAGATTAACACGACGCCCGCCACCGGAGTCGCCTGCAGTGGCCAGTGCCGGTCGGCTTTACGGAAACTGCAACCCAGGCCATCGCTGTCCTTGCTTCCGAGATTGCGGGCGTGTGCGCATATTCAAACCCTTTGATATGATTTGTTTCAATAATCGATTCTGCAAAAGAATGAACGTTGTCCTGCAACTATGGGATGTCCTCGTTAATTTGTTTACCCATTTCAATCCACTCTATTAAATAATAATAAGGCCCCTTATTTCCTCCCAGGCAAGGGCAACTTGAAAAGCGCACTAGGGGCACATTATTGTTCCCGGTCAAGACAGTGAACGTGATTATGTAGTACGTACTGGTGAACGTGATTTGTGTTCGGAGCATCCGATCCTCATATCCTCTTTCTTGCCTCATCATGCGTTTTCGCGATGCCCGCTTGTCCGAGGCATGCTGCCTGCTCCAGCTCCGAGTGGACCGGGAGGCCGCCCGGAGGGGGACCCGGTCCGGCCGCCCGGCGTATGCCCAGCAGAAGGGTCACCGCGCGGGCTGAGGCTTGGCAGTTGGTTCCCCAGGCGCATGCACTCCTGCCCTACCATTATCAATTATCCTTCATCCCATATCCGTGAAACGAATATTTCTGGTCGAAAAGACTCTAGTAAGCAAACCGTGCCCAAAACTTGCAGTTCGGGGGGGGGGGGGGCGGACTGTCGCTGTCAACTGTTGTTAACTGATCTTAAAATGGCTGCCTTAGTTCAAAACCTCATACAAATGTGGAACGCTCCCTTTAAAACGCAAGAACTGTACAACCCCTAGCCCGATCATTGTAAGGTTCTTCCCTTGCCTCAAGCGTCTGGGGCCAGCCGCCCGTCCAACCTGCAGTGCAACCTCGAGTCCGACAACACAAGCGACTCTCGTCCAGCGACAGACGGGGCGCTTCAGGCGAGCGCCTCTCGTCCAGCGACAGGCCGGGCGCCTCAGGCGAGCGACTCTCGTCCAGCGACAGACCGGGCGCCTCAGGCGAGCGACTCTCGTCCGGCGACAGACCGGGTACCTCAGGCGAGCGCCTCTCGTCCGGCGACAGATCGGGCGCCTCAGGCGTGCGACTCTCGTCCGGCGACAGATCGGGCGCCTCAGGCGAGCGCCTCTCGTCCGGCGACAGATCGGGCGCCTCAGGCGAGCGCCTCTCGTCCGGCGACAGATCGGGCGCCTCAGGCGAGCGACTCTCGTCCGGCGACAGATCGGGCGCCTCAGGCGAGCGACTCTCGTCCAGCGACAGACCGGGCGCCTCAGGCGAGCGACTCTCGTCCAGCGACAGACCGGGCGCCTCAGGCGAGCGACTCTCGTCCAGCGACAGACCGGGCGCCTCAGGCGAGCGACTCTCGTCCAGCGACAGACCGGGCGCCTCAGGCGAGCGACTCTCGTCCGGCGACAGACCAGGCGCCTCAGGCGAGCGACTCTCGTCCAGCGACAGACCGGGCGCCTCAGGCGAGCGACTCTCGTCCAGCAACAGACCGGGCGCCTCAGGCGAGCGCCTCTCGTCCAGCGACAGACCGGGTACCTCAGGCGAGCGCCTCTCGTCCGGCGACAGGCCGGGCGCCCCAGGGCACCGTCGGCCGCCGGTGCGCGGCGTCGCTCCGCCACCGGCGCTGTGTCCGTGGCCAGGTCTCGCGCCGTTTCCCGTCCCGCTCTGACCCGGTTCGGGCGGCCGGCCCTCATCTGGGAGCGCCTGACGCCCGACTCGGTGTTTGCATGACGCGGTTTTGTATTGTTGGGCCGAGGCAAGGCCGCGCGTGCCTGGGAAAGACGTTGGACGAGTTCGCAACCTGTCGCCGGCGCGGGGCGCACTGAAGGGTGACGAATGTTAGCACGGCGCCGCCCGGCTCACCGGCCGGCCGGCTGCCGCGCGACTGCTGGTGTCGGGGTTCCACGGGCGCTGCAAACGTTGCTTGTGGAATTTAATTTCGAAGCCAAGACATTGCCAACTCCTCGCAACACCTTTAGGTTCGCCTGCATGTAGACAGCGCTCCCATGGGTGGAGAAAGCGGCAAGGCAGATGTGGGAACGGCCACACAAGCGTCACTGAACTAACCAGCTTCTGCATCTGGCCATTGCAAAAATAAGCACACGCTGGCAACTCGCCGCACCACTTTTTTCAGCAGTTTCCGCCCCAGATGATTCCAAATTTAGGATGCTCCGGCATGGGCCCTGGTCATTTCCGAGTGTGTGCCACATCTAGCACCAGGCACGAGTCGGTCCCAGCCGTGCCGCGGCAGTGCAACGTCACGCGCAGCACGCGGCGGCTGCTCACCGTTCCATGAGGGCGGCCGGCGGAGCGCGGCCAGCGCGGCGGCAAATGGCGTCACGTGGTCGGCGTCATCCCATCCGCTGCGGGCTCGGCCGGCCGCGGCCCGTCTCACACGCCCGCCGTCGCTCACCACTGTGCGTACTGACGCGGCGCCGCACGCGTGCACACGCTCACCCACCAGTCAACTGTCGCAACGCGCGCGTTGGCAGCCTGCCAGCGCGCCCGTACTACACCGCGCGCGGCGCGCCGCCCGGCGGCCGCACCTCTGTGGCCTTCATCCAGCCCGTCACGTGACCCGTACCAGTCCACGGGGCGGCCAGAGCGGCACCACCCACGTGCGTGGAGCTGGGCCGGCGGCCGCCACCGCTCGAGCCGGCGGCGCCGGGGTCAGCGGCGCAGCCGGCGCGAGTCGCTGGGCAAACGGGCCCGCATGCGTCGGACTTGTTGTTGGCCATAGTCAGGGCCTGACAAGCACACGCTGGGATCGCGGCGTCGTTCGCCTGCGGTGTGTGTCAGATGATGGTTTATTTGCCGTTCATGCGAAGCGCGGCCAGCCTGGAGGTTAAGTAGATCAAACAGTTATCATGAGTAACGGCGAACTGGATAGTTTTACATAGCATCATTTTGAACACATCAGAAGTGTACGCGGATTCACGTATGCATGACAAATAGAACTGGAACAAGCTATATACATACATACATACATGCACACACACAGTAATATATTTGGGCACTGCATAACATCAACCAAGGTATGACATTACTCAATTATAATATATATATGTGTGTACGTATTAAACATGGTTAATGATGACACGCACATGCACGCCGGCACTTATATATATATATATATATATATATATATATATATATATATATATATATGTGTGTGTGTGTGTGTGTGTGTATAAATGCCTGCGTGCCTGCGCACATCATTGATTAACCATGATAAGTGGTGGTCCCGCTCAAGGACTGAATGCAGTACCGTTCGGTTGTTGTTATGAGTCAGCTATTGCTTTTCACCACCGGTCAAACCGGACTTTGACTGGCGCGTTTGACGCCGTCACTCCCGCGTAAACACTCGAAGGAAAAACTGCAAACAGTCGAGCACGAACATAGGGTTTGAATTGTTCTTTTACGACACCTGCTTGTACCTTAAACGACACCATGTGGTGGAAAGGCCGTCCTATCTTGATCTCACTCGTTCAATTTTCTTCGTTAAGTTTCATTTGACTTCCTATGCTATTTATTTGCGTGATATTACTTATCTTAATTATCACGTTCGTATTTATTAAATCAATCGCGTATGTTATATTATGTACCTTTATTATTATCGATAACATTGGTGCATGTGCATGTATATATTGTATATGTGTATACTCCGTCGTATTTGTTCGACACCCCGACCGGTTTTGCAGTTCATGTTGCGTTTGATTAAATACTCGGCGGGTCGGCCCCCTCCCCAATGCCGACTTGACCTACCGTCCGCAAAATGCTCCTCTCATCTTCCTTCTTCCAATGCATATGGACAAAATCAAGAAACCTCCGTTGAGCAAACAATAACAAATATCCCCACCTGATGCCACATGTAGCTGAACACATCGCTTAGCATCTTATTCATGTGATACCAAATAGTATGGGTATCCTGTCGCCCCTTGTGCATAATATTATGGTGCATTTCAGCTTTGCATCTTAATGGCAGCGTGAAAAGGGCTTCTATGAACTAATGTACCACTTTAAAGGGAGTGACCCACATCTGTACTGGATCTTGAACTGAAATAGCCATTTGATCATTCGGTGCAGTTCACAGCCTTGCCATTTTTCCGACCTAAGCCCCCCTGGTTTCTGAGGTACACGCCCGCCAACATGTGCAGACTGTTTCGGGGAAACTATTTCAAGGTCAGCCCGCATCCAGGACCACATAATGACGTCATTCAAATCCGATCATTTTATTAGCCATGCGGCGATCAAGGTCAAGAAAAATGTAATTGTCGAGTCGTTCATATGGCGTTCTTGAGCAAGATTTCGAAATATAACGGCCGTCAATTGACTCTCAATCAAAGCTGTGCAAGGTGCAATGACGTAACCAAACATGCGTATTGAGGAACATATCTGCGTAACAAAGGCATTGTGTTGTCTAGAGCAGTCTGTTCCACTTAAAGGCATACCGATAGTTATAAGCGAGCTTATTCATCGTATCTGATGCTTGCTTCAATATCTCCAAGTGTAGAACATTCCCTCCAACAGCAGCACCGCCAGGTAGTATTCGCCTCCTGTTGAGCCATAGCTTGGGCCAAAGCTTAACTGAATTATTGTAGCATAAAGAGAAGCGCAGTAGTGGAGGGGCCCATATGGAGTAAATGGTAAAATAGGGCACGACCAAGAGAATGCATATGGAGTAAATGGTAAAATAGGGCACGACCAAGAGAATGCATATGGAGTAAATGGTAAAATAGGGCACGACCAAGAGAATGCATATTTTAAGCTCGGAAAGATTGTGTTGTAGGACAATCCCTATCAAGATCTCTTCAGCCTGATCCCTTTCAACCTAAAAAAGAATTCAAGCTTCGTCTCTGTATTTGTTAAGTCCGACTTATACACCCCGTTGACCATGGATTGAACCGGTACTGCTTGCCGCATTTCCGAACAAGGCCGTTTTGGAGGACAGTTTTAAAGATTGGAGCAGATGTCATCTTTTACGTCCGGCATTGTCTGATTACTGAATCTGGTGTCTGCTTAATGATATGCGAATGGAAGTTGTTGCCTCAAAATACGCTCACATCGTATTCTCCGCAACTAAATAATGGAGCTAAACGGACAGTTCTGAAATTTGACTAAAAGGACATAGCGCATGAGATTTACCATGAGACGCACAACCACGTCCGCTGTTGCTTAACTTCTGCGTCCGCTGCAAAACACCGACACTTAACCAGGCGTGCTGCCACCAGGGTGCCAGTCTGGCGTTTTCTTTATAAGATGGCCACTCTGAGGACCCATTCACTCACCGGTCTTGTTTCATTGCATCCTTCCAGTGATCGATGTGTCTGTTGAGAAGACTGTGCAGGTCCAGTTTGACTTTTACAGATGTGTACATCGTGGCAGTGTACTGGAAAATGTTTTGTGGGCTCTCGTCCGTGCGTGTCGGGCGACGCCATCCTACCAAAAACCGTCGTTCTGCATCCCGGACCACCTTCGGGTAACAATGATCGATTGCAGTTTTACGCAAAGATTGAGACGAGGCATTAGTAAAACGGATGGGACATTCGTTGGGATTACCATCCTCGTCTGTTGTGCCAGCATGTCCCCAACGCTTCGGTCCGGGAACTCTCCAGCCGTCCTCGGGTATTATTGGGGCCTGGCAAAGACTGGATGATGCTTGGCTTTCAGCTAGGTGTACGTGACAATCCGTATTGTCTCCTTGGAAATGCTGGAATTCGGACCCGGGTGTCCTTGATCGTGAGTGCAGTGCTCTATCAACTGGGCTAACCAAGAGGGCCTGTCTGACGCGCCTATCCTTCCCTGTAAGCTCAGTTGGTAGAGCAATGGTCTCGGAGAGTTCACTGGCCGAAACGTTGTGTACGTACTAACACACCAGAGCAGAGCAAGACAATAGCCTGAACATCTTTTTCTTCCCTGAAACGATGCGCGACACCTGTTTTGTTAATCACAAGGGCTTGAACTGCTAAAATGGCTTTATGTGAATTACATTCTATTTTAATCTTGTTTACAAAAACTCAGCCTCCCATCGCCTTGAAGAAGGAAGTCGTTTTTCCACAGCAAAACCACATCTGGAATAAGCAAAGTATCTTTTTAAAGGTTTTTATATTTTCTTACACGGCGGACGCAAATCAAATTGGTCCAATCCTGGGAGAAATCTGGAGTTGGGGGTAGGCTACGTCAGCCTTCCAACCAATTTAAAAAGGGGTACTCTTGCTGACGCGACGAGCATGTGCAATGGCCGCTGCGGCTGCGCCCGAAGGTGACTGGTCGGGGTGTGTGCTGTTATGTAACGCAAAGCAAAATAAGGTTGTCATTTTTTCGTTTTTTTGACACAGCATGCAGGACTATTCACAACACTCAGCATGCACATCTGTTTTGTCTTTTCTGGATTCCATTCACGATTGCAGAACAACTTTTGAAGAAATAGAGAGCTCTTTAATGGTTCAAAAGCAAGCGCAGTAGAATGGTGTCTGTCGCGGTGATCGTTTGTTCACCATCGTGCAGAGGTCAAACATACGCCCATTCCGTTTGTGTTTATTATGGTTGATTTCGCGAAATTGTTAACAGCGCAAAGCTAGGTCATATCTCGTTGCAACGATGACAGGTAGGCATATTTGAGAGATTTATCCCCCAGCCCAGCAGTCCAGTGCAATCGTCTGTGCTGCTTACCAGCATCCTTTCAGGTATTCTTCCAGATACTTGTCAAGTTTTACATTAAGATCCTGCCTAGGGCTCATGCGCATCGATGCGTACATCATCATATGATGTGCATAGGATGTTTCAACGCACTTTTTAGATCGTCTGACTGCTCTGAGAAATCAAGACCCCCGCCCCCCCCCCCAAAAAAAAGAGCTTGCGTTCCAACTGCGCAACAAGGTCCTCTGTCCGTCTGCGGCCATAACGTGGTGGGTGATGGTGTTGACAGCGTATACCCAGTCTCGGATCTCATCCGCGGTGGGGAGCCGCGTTCGATTGGGCACTGCTTCGAACTTCTCGCCCTGTCGGGAATGTCAAAATGCCGCTCGAGCATCCCGCTGGACCGGGATGCTAGAGCTCCGTCAGAACACACCGTAGCA